TATGGCTACCAGAAAATTTAAAATTATGCATATGGCTTGTGCTTTATTTCTGTTGGATAGCGCTGCCATAGAGGCTTTTTGATGGTTTAATATCAGCAATGGAAAGGTTGCCTAATATCTCCTGAGTATTTTCTGTGGTGCCAGGTACTTGTCTAGGAGTGCTACAAACATCCATCACTTAATCTTTATTATGACTTCATGAGATGGGTATTATCATCATGTCCATTTTATAGATAAAAACCAAGGCACTAAATAGATAAATAATTTGGCTGAAGAATATAGCAGAAGTGGAATCCAGGCAGTTTTCACTGCAAATGGACACCCTTAATTCAAAAGAGCCATTAGCTCTATAATGAAGATTAAAAGTTGTTTTTTTTAAAAAGTTGCAAATAAACTTTCCCTATCCACTCCACTTTATTGTTAGAAAAACAAAACAAGGGCCTCCCTAGTGGCACAACGGGTTAAGACACAGCACTATGAAGCTATTCACAGCCACTGCAGCACGAGTTCGATCCCCAGCCGGCCAGGGAGCAACCCACATGGCGCAGCAGACCTCTCCTGCCTCTCCTGCTGCTCCCCTCAGCAGTGAGTGTATTTCAGTCGATCTGCCTGTTCTCCTCCCCACTCTGTCTCTGGTGAATCCTCTCACACCCCACACCTCTGGCCTGTACCCCATTCTTACATGCATAAATAAATAAATCTTAAAAAAAAAAAAGCAAAACAAACCCCAAACATCTCAAAGCAAACAAACTAAACATTTTCAGGCTTATTTATTGTCACTTTGCGAGAGCCCCCAAGAAGTTGTTAAATAGAATTTATGCTAGGGAAAATTATGGGCAGTGTTGTATTTTAAACCACAGGAAGCAAATCATAATGGAAAGAAAAGTTTAGGATAGTTACCAATGGTGAGTGTAATGATTTGAGAACCATTACTCTAGAATAAAACATATCCTAGAATACGGACTGAAAGATGATCACACTCTCCAAATAAATGAGAAGACAGTGCAGGCACCAGTCATGCCAACATGGCAGTCATGCTCCTTTGACCTCCTACCCAAGGACTGAGAGTGCTGCCATTGTTTGGATGATATTATCATGGCTGTTTAGTCTGACCTTAAAGTGGACGTTTAGTGGGGCCGTATCAGTCATGTTTCCTGCATGTGATTCTAACACCGTACTTAGATCTAGATTATCACACAAGCCAAGGGCAAAGCTCACTGGCTACAGGCTGGTTTGAATGTCCAAGTAGACTTGCAAAAGAGAACTAAAGAAGAGAAATAAGTAGTTGTTCATATTTATTCTGGAAGTTTCAAAGAAATTCACAACATACAAGTAAGTGGTGTGTTTTAACCGCTATATTTTATGGTGAATATACTCTCATTTTCACTCCTGTAGACACCCAGCACTGAGTAAGAGAGAAAAGAGAAGGAGTTTTGGGGAAAAGAAAAGAATGAAGAACTGGAAATGTTTTCTTTCTGATAGAAGCAGACAAGGAATTCTGTCTACTTGGCTTTTCCGAATTGGCTGTTAGCCTTTCTGAAGTGAACATTCTGTGCTAGCTTCAGAAAGAATGTTGGCAGGGTTAGGGTGGGAAGGTCTGAAGCGATAATACTTGGATGGCTAATGCTTTCTTTTCTGAGGGCTGACATAGCTATGACCTCCAGCAAGGATCCAGTTTGGCCACATGAAAATGAGCTGTTTTCCTCCCTGGGGAGCGAGATTAGAATCTATGAAGCAATGTCTGATAAACCTAAAATATTATCTGAAGATGGTTTATTATAAGGAATCTGGGAAACCCACTTAATTAATTTATTTCTACACTATTTCCTTGAAACAATAATGCCCACAGAAAAGTCACGTAATGGATGTCACAGAGAAAACTCATTTCTGTGTGTAATGGATGGCAGAATGGAAGAGTAAACAGATGTGAACAAAGCACTTTCTAAGAGTCCCAGTTACAAATGTCAAAATGCTTCTAACTGACAAACACTTGACAAACCATCCAAGCCCCTTACTGCCTTTTGTTTGGACCCACAAAATATCTGAAATCACAATAAAATCCAGCATGTGTTACTGGCCTCAATTTCTCCCCAGCCTAATAATTACCATTCTTTGCCTTACACTTTTCATAGGGTATCCTACAAAAAAGAAGGGGGGGATTAAATTTGTATTTCTTAACCTCATTAGCATAAGTTTTTATATCTTTGAAGACAAAAACATTTACTTAATTGACAAAAAGGGTGCCTGTCCAAAGTCCCCTGCCTCAACCCTAAGGATTAAATATTTGGACTGTAATTTTATTTTATTTTAATTAAACAATGTTGGTTTTTACCATTAGGAGGAAAGTCATTTCATATTTCACTATCTCCTTAAGGCTGGCAGATCCCTGCTCAGAAACCAAATAGCTCATCTGTCTTTGTTCATCAGAGTGGAATTAAAAGGAAAAAAAAAAAAAAAAAAACTCAAGTAAAATGACTGCCAATAGTGGCGAGGCCAAGTAAATCTGTTAAGCCTGGCCCTATACCACCTACCTTTGTTAGCAGGATAAAGTGTCTTTCCTGCACATAGTTTCTCAAACAAAAGCTGTTCTATTTTACCCCCAGCAGGACAACATTGGATATATTGCAGGTTGCTACCTCTGCTGAATTATTTAATGATGGACACATGACCCAAGCCAGCTATGGTCATTTATTGGTTGGCCAATATCTGTTCAGATTCACCTTCTTGAAAACACTTGACATTAAGATGGGACACTTGTCAGCTGGTAGCTGGTCTTTGAGTTGAAAGGTCAACTGGTGAGTCATCAAATTGGGCCGTGTATCAAAAAAAAAAAAAAAAAAAAAAACAACCAAGAGAGAGAAGTGACCAGAATTTTGCCAAAGCATAGAATCACAGAGACAAGGCAGAAAGGTTTAGAGCCCACAAGTTCCCTGAAAGACAAAGAGGAAAGTGTAGTCTTGCTTTCTAATTATATAGTCTTTTTTTTTTTTTAAAGATTTATTTATTTATTTATACAAGCAGAAGCGCGGGAGGGTGAGAGAATTCACCAGAGCCAGAGCGGGGAGCAGAGCAGGCAGAAGGACTGAAGTACACTGCTGAGGGGAGCAGCGGGCGGCAGGAGAGGTCTGCGCGCCACGTGGGACCCTCCTCAGGTGGCCGGGGAGCAGCCAGGGATGGAACCGGCTCTGCAGAGGCTGCGGCCAACTTCGAAACCCTGAGCTCAACCGCTGCGCCACTGGGGAGGCCCTCTAGTTATACAGTCTTGATCATGCTGGCTTCATGCCAGCATGCCCCTAATAGTGTTTCTTTAAAGCAAGCCCTTCACTTGAGTCATTTTAAGTCATTTCTGTATCTTATTTCCATCATACACCTGACCAGGACAATATCCAATCATATTTCTCCCTGCTCTATCCTGTATTCTCTGTCTTTGTTAGGAAAATCTTTGTACTATTCCCCATATCAGCAAAGTTTATAATCTTATTGCCTGTGCCTTCAGTTACATTACTAATGTTATCCCATAATACCCGAATACCTCCTCTATGCCCTTATCCAGCTGCCAAGCTCTCGGAAGGCGTTCTACAGGAGGCCCTAATAAGAATCTTCCATTTATAGGCATTCTTATTTATTTATTTATTTTTTAAAGATTTATTTATTTATGTATACAAGAGCTGGGGTACAGGGCAGAGGCATGGGGGGGTGAGAGGATTCACCAGAGACAGAGTGGGGAACAGAACAGGCAGACTGACCAAGTACACTGCTGAGGAGAGCAGTGGGCGAGACAGGAGAGGTCTGCTACGCCCTGTGGGTTGCTCCCTGGCGGGCCGGGAATCTAACTGGTGCTGCAGAGGCTACGGACAGCTTCATAGGTTGCGTCTTAACCCCTTGCACCACCAGGGAGGCCCTAGGCATTCTTGTTTAATGGCTCAAATTCACTTTCTTATACATCCTGCTCATTGTCCCCGGTTCTATTTTCTGGAATAACAGAAGAAAGCTACTCTTCTGCTAATTTAGTGCACGCTGCATCTTTAATAACTAACAAATGCCTTTGGAGCCATTTCCCCTTCCATCTATTATTCCTCCTGAGATATTTTCAAGACCCCTCATACTCCTGGTAGTTCCTCTTCCTCTGACATTGCCCCCCAAGGTCATTTCCACCTTACTAATTCCTACCCACAGTTTAACTCTTTGGCTTAATTTCAACTTCCTATATTATCTGCTCAGGCCACACTCAAGAGAGGCACAGGTCAGAGTGATAGAAGCAATACAGGTTTTGGATTCAGGTAAATATGAGTTTAGCTCTGGTTCCAACATATTTAACCCCAAGTCCCTGGCTATTTTATCAATCTCTGCATGCCACAATGTCCTTATGTATGCCTACCTCTCAACCTTGTTTTGCCATAAATCAACCATATGTAAAGTTGGCATATAGAAAGAAACTCAACCAATAGTACTTTGCATGCAAAGTAGTAGTAGACTACTTTAGTAGTAGACTATTTTACTATGCAAAATAGTCTCTTTTCTGAATGTTGGGTAGATTTAATGGTTCTGAGTATGATCTCTGGAGTCAGATACTACAGTATGATAATCATGATGTGTCCATGGGTAGTTTATTTCACTTCACTGTCTCTCCTCTATCAAACGGGGGTACCAATTGTACCTATCTTAGAAGACTATTGTTCATAAAGATTGAATGGGTTTAGCACATATAAAGAGCTTAGAAGAATGCCTGGACAAATTGTCCTCATCCTAGACCATAGCTGTTATCTCCTGCAGCTGAGTGCTTACACAATACCTGGTTTCATGCCTGCAATTCTCCTCAGCTAGTCAGTGTGCAGTTGAGAAACCAATATTCTTATGTTGAAAGCATGTTTGTTGGAAAGAATGAGTAATCAACGAGGACCAGAAGATAAAAAAAAAACCCACTGGTGTATTTTAGCCACATTAGATAGTTAAGTCAACACAAAACAAACACCAAAGCCCCAGTTAGGCTGAATACCTACCTGGTGGTAAGAGATGGGGACAGGTTTCCGGAACACTATCCACTCCACAATTTCGCTACACGGTGGGGTGGTCAGAGAACCCGTGTAGCGGTAGTAGCTGCCCAGGGATGCAGGCAGGAGGTCCCGGAGGACGAAAGGATCCAGAAAAGTCTCCTTCTCTGTTTGGGGAAAGAGGCAAAAGAAAAACACAATGATAAGTCATACTGTGCTGCAGACATAGTCAAAATCCTCCCCACGCTGGTGCGCCACATCACAAGCCTTATGTTTGTTTACATCCTGAGAAGAACTAGCATTTGGTGGTGGGAGAGCCACAGAAAACAAAGCAGCATTTCCTGGGGTGTGTTATGAGACACCAGCACTGCACTTAATACCATGAAAAAAGGGTTCCATGATGAACAACCTTGCAGTTCCTTTTTTATCCCCCCAAATAGATAAAACACTAGCATAATGAAGTCTCTGAGAAGTTCTGCAGAAGAGAATTGGGCTTGACCATATTTAACCCATACATTGCTAATCTTATGTCACCACAGAACCCTTCTAACCGAACACTTGGCAATTAACAATCAGTGGAATAAATTTGGGAGCATCCCTGAGGGGATATGCAAAGGAATGGTAAATCAATGAGAAAGTACAATTCCAAAGTTGGTTACATTTCATTATGATTTCACCCAAGCCAATCCAAATCAAAGAGAAACCCAGCCAGGGCACAACCCTAGTTTAAAAAACTGATGGTCCAAGAAATAGATTTCTGATCTTTACAAAAGTGGAGGCCTTCCCTTAAGTAGAAGCAATGACATTTAAGCTGAGACTGAACAATGACATTGTATAATAAATCTATGAGGAAATCAAGGTATAGAAGAGGTTAGTGCCTGACCAAGGTCACACAGCAACTATGCAGCAAAGTTGAAATGTGAACCCAGACACCAGAGCTTGCACGATTCTGACCAAACTAAGGAAGTAGCTGAACAAGGCAAATATTGGAAGTTAGGGGCAAAAGAGGTGCATAAGAGCACTGTAAGCCGTAAGAAGGTCCCAAGAAAGGAAGGAATGGTATACCAGAGATGAGGACATTGTGTCGTAATTCTATGAATCAGGCTCAGTAGATCATCCAGCTTCTTTCTCTGGACAGAAATTTCTAGTCTCTATGTGAATCTTGAAAGGTCTAGCCCTGAACTTAAGTCTTGAATTATTTCTTATTCCTTTTAAGTACATAATAAGGCTCTTACAGTCCTGCTAATGGCTTAACTTAGCTCCATGATTGCCTCTACTACTGATCTAGGGCAGGATCCCAAGTCTCCAGGTTACTTCATATGTCTGCAGGAATAGTCTTTCTAAGCCTCATCCTTCCCTCCTCTTCTTTCTTGAAGAATAAGCTGTGCAGTTATTTGGGCAAATGTGTATGTCTGGATGCAAGATGCCTATGAACTGGGGAATAACACAAAAACTCCAATAGAAATAAACTATATTAGAACAGTTGAAAATGGTAATTTCCTTTTGGTAGAGATTAGTTGAACAAAACTTGTCATTTATTTAGATTTTACTATATGCCAGATGCTATCCTGAGTATTTACATGTTGCAAACATTTAAACAGCTTTTACTGCAAGCCAGGCCCTATTCTAAGAGCATTATAAAGATTAATTTATTTTATACTAAAAATAGCCCCAAGAAGTAGGTTCTATTATTGCCCCCAATTTAGAGCTGACTGCAAAACCAGGTAGTTGAGCTTAGAATCCAGACTTTCATTATTCTTAAACCATGCCCACAGTCTCTCATTTTACAGTCCTATGGAATATGTACTTTTAATACCCTAATTTCACAGATATGGAAATCAAATCTAATAGAGTTAAATAACTAAACCCAAGGTCACTAGTGAACAGTGAAGTAGCAGCAGCAGTTATTCACAAGCTCAGAAACACTGGCTGATTCTCACATAGGTTTTCAATTCATTTTTTAAAGGAAAAGTTAAATGTTAACTAATAAATGCAAAAGTCTTCCAATCAAAATGACAAAAGCAGTTTCTGTTGGACAAAAGGCTGGAAATAATGGAATTGCCCCTTCCCGCTCTAGCAAGTGTGGGCTTTAATTCAAATCTGGTTATCAGCAGCCAAGGGATGGGACCATCTTTTTTTTTTTTAAGATTTATTTTTACTTATTTATGCATACAAGAACTGTGGTGTAGGCCAGAGGTGTGGGAGGCAAAAGGATTCACCAGAGACAGAGTGCTGAGCAGAAGAGGCAGATCTACTGAAGTACACTGCTGAGGGGAGCAGTGGGCGAGACAGGAGAGGTCTACTGCACCGTGTGGGTTGGCTCCCTGTTCGGGATATGAACTCTTGCAGCAGTGGCTGATGACAGCTTGATAGTGCTGAGATTTTAACCCCTATGACACCAGGGAGGCTCAAGGGATGGGGACCATCTTTAAGTGTGCTTCACTGGACTGGCTTGGCTGGAAGGAGTAATTATGTTGGCCTTTGCTGTCTCTGTGCTTCCAGGGCTAAGTAAATAGTTAAAACAGGAGGACCCAAGCAACAGGCTATATTGGACTTGGCTTCGTAAGACACAAAATCACCACTTTCAATTCCTTTTTTTTTTTTAAAGATTTATTTATTTATGCATACAAGAGCTGGGGTATAGGCCAGAGATACGGAGGGGCAGGGGTGAGAAGACCCACCAGAGACAGAGTGGGAATAGAACAGGCAGACTGACTGAAATACATTGCTGAGGGGAACAGCAGGTGAGACAGGAGAGGTCTACTTTGCTATGTAGGTTGCTCCCTGGCCAGCCAGGGATCCAACTCGCACTGCAGAGGCTGAGAACTGCTTCACAGTGCGGTGCTTAACCCCTTGCACCACCAGGGAGCCCCACCACAGCACAACCACCTGTACTGGGATCACGGGTTCCAGACTGAACGACCAGAAAATCCCTGGCGTTTTCCTCTAGGGCCTGATCCAATATTAGGGTTGCAGTTAAGCATGCTGTTTGCATACTGGAAGAGACAAGCCAATCCCTGCAAGCCCCGTGACAGCAAAGTCCCCATCTAAATCTCACACTTTAGGAAGAGGCCTTGGCTTTAAAGCACATGAATAGATACAGCAGAACACCTGCGCCACAATCCGAGCAGACTAGATTTCAAAAGGGAATACTTTCAGGAGGATCAGGATACTTGAATAATTTTGTGTATGGGCTCATGAATCTGACAGGGACAGATGGAAATTTTGGGGTGACCAACACTACATGTGCGGCAGGGCTTCTCTGTCCCCAACCAACCCAAAGGTTCAAGTCAGGTCCTGGATTTTATTGATTAGAAGGTGCATTCAGACTGGTGGTTTGGTGGGTGGACCTGGTGAGGGGACAGAAAAGGTGGTTTCGCAGCTTATATCCCAACACTATCACTGCTGTTGTATTTGAGAGCTCTGAGGCTGAAGGGTGGCCCTAGCTGAGCAACTTGGCAAGCCAAAGGCCCCTTTCTTCAAACAAAATCTTAGACAGGAACCTGTAACTCAAATAGCTGAAACCACCGCCAACCATGGTTAAGGCTGAGCTTGAAACCCAGAGACATGTTGAAAACCACCAATTTAGTCCAATTCTTTAATTTCAGGGTTAGAGAAAGGGAAGACCAGGGTGAAGTAATGAAACCATGATCAAAACATTGAGGCAAATACACTGACTTGAATGGGATTCTTTCTTCAAGGAAACCACTTAGCATCTGCAACAGCAAGACAGGGCGGAGGAAATATCCCTAGTGCTGAAGACAGGAATCGAGCCACTATCCTTGTCAGCACTTCACTTCTCCATCTCTACAAGCACAAGTGAAGAGGAATGTCTGCTGGATTTAAACCCCAACTCTTCCACCTCTAGTTTTACAAACTTAGGGAGGTCACTAAGACTTCCAAGGCTGGCATGAAGATTAAATAAATCAGTACAAGAAAAAGATTTAGAAGAGGTTGGAACACAATAGCCAGTTCATAAATGATATTATTCTTATTCTAATTGTAATTATATGTATTGCTATTGTTGCTATTCCTCTAAACTACTAAGACCTAACCACGTACATCTTATATAGCCCCATACTTCTTTTAATGTTTGTGCATGTATCTTATTTTTTTCATTTTTATATTCCCCAAACAATTGCAACCCCTTTATTTTGACCCCAATCCCCCCCCGCCCCCTCCCCTCATAAAGTGTCTCTGGTTCATAGTTGTTTGTTGATTATGATTTTTACTTTCTTACAGATATTCATTTTCCTGGTCCCTTATTTAAGTTTTCTAGATTCCTGCTATGAGTGAGACCATCTGATAGTTTTCTTTTTCTTTCTGGCTTACTTCGCTGAGCATGATCCCTTCCAGCGCCATCCATGTTGCTGCAAATTGCATGTGTTTATCTTTTTTGAATGCTGAGTAATATTCCATGGTGTATATGTACCACATCTTCTTGATCCAGTCATCTATTTTTTGGTCATTTGGGTTGATTCCAAAGCTTAGCTATTGTAAACAGTGCTGCTATAAACGTAGGGGTGCAGGTGCTCTTTGGAGTTGATGTTTCTGTGTCCTTTGGGTAAATACCTAGGAGTGGAATTGCTGGATCATATGGAAGCTCTATGTTTAGTAGGTCCAGAAATCTCCACACAGCTCTCCATGGTGGTTGGACCAGTTTGCACTCCCACCAACAGTGCAGGAGAGTTTCTTTTTCTCCACAACCTCGCCAACATTTGTTGTTGCTAGTTTTTTTAATATGTGCCATTCTCACTGGTGTTAGATGGTATTTCATGGTAGTTTTGATTTGCATTTCCCTGATTACGAGTGATGGTGAACATTTTTTCATATGCATGTATCTTATTTTTAAAACAGGATTACTAGTGCTTTAAAGGTACATTGTATCTGATAAACTCTCCATTATCTTGAGTAGTACAGGTTTGTTTTCTCTACCAAAACAAAGCTTGGCTTTGGAACCAACTAATACAGCTGTGTGACCCTAGGGAAACATCTTAACCTCTCTGAGCTACATTTCTTTTTTCTTTTTCTTTTTTTTAAAGATTTATTTTTTATTTATACAATAGCTGGGGTACAGGCCAGAGGCACAGAGGGTGAGAAGATTCACTAGAGGCAGAGTGGGGAGCAGAACAGGCATATCAACTGAAATACACTACTGATGGGAGCA